ATACGTTTTAACAAAGATTGAGTGTGTCCTCTCTTTATATCTATCTGTAATTCAACAAAGTGTGCAAAATATCTATGCCAATATAGTGGATTTCTAGTGCCCACATCATTTGCTAACTAACTCTGCTGATGTTTAGCCAAATATAGCTACTGTCTATTGTGTTGAGAACTTCACATACCTGTATTTGGTCAGCCTTTCCTGTCACAACCAAAGTGCGGAGCTGAATAATTTTTAATTTTGTATCTCTCCCTGAATGGTGATTCCTAAGAATCACTGTGATATTTGCTCTTCATTTGGGTGGCCTGTAACTACTTACATGTGGCTTCTCTGCACTTTCATTCTTCTATTCTTGTATCTTTATGGCTTTCCCCTTAGTTGCATTCTGAATCTTTTAGGATCCAAGTGTTTTTCTGAATAACAGAGTTCAGAGCATAAGCATCTCCTGAAAATGAACCTGAATACTACCTCTGAAAATAATTACATATTCCTAGTTGATTTTTAGGGAATCTCGAAACTATTTCCACTAGTTTCAATGTGGTATATCGCATTAACATTTCATACCACCAGATGTTTCATTATTCATGTTTTAGTACATCGTACTTGACCCAAAGTAGCTTTGAATGCAAATAACAAATAAACCAACATGCAGTATTTGACTGATACTGCAAAATAATGCGGCAGATCAAAACTACTTTTCTTTTTTGGAGAGATATTATTAATGCAATGCTTTGTTAATTTAATTAAATGTTATTTTTAAAATATAAAACCGTATTGCAGTGAACTGACTCACCATTTCATTTAATTAATTGTAAACCTCAAGATTTGATTACTCATTGTTCTCCTTTAGTTAATTTACTTATTCACAGTTTTGGCAGAAAAGCTTTCATACTAAAATGAAGAGATGGGCACAGTATAACCAATTAGGAAACTATAAAATTGCCTTATTTTTTGCTCAATTACTGTTACAAAGCCAAATTCACTTTTTTCCCTTGTAAAGTTTTACTACATATCATGGAATTTTTTTTCCCACTGCACTTCTAGTTTGAGGGCTATTGATCTCATAAAGTTGTAGGTCTAATGCTTGTTTACTAATGAGAAAGGAATGTAAGAATAATTTTGCTTTAGACCATGCACAGATAATACAAAACCAGAGGTATGAGTAAACTGTATAGTACAAAGAAAATCTCATTGGAATTCTTGCTTCATGAAGGAATGTAAAGACCATTTACTGCCACTCCTTCATTTTGCATATTTAATAAACGGAAGCCCTGAGAAATTGTATGACACCATTTCTCACTTGTTCTGGTCAGTGAACTTATAATGCATTTCTGCAGAGTCATTTTAGAGAGTTGTTTTTTAAATTAATTAATTAATGATTTTTTGATTTTGTTTTTTATTGCATTGTAGTTGATTTACAATGTTAGTTTCAGATGCGGAAATTAAACTCAAGATTCAGAAGGTGGGATTTAGTGGCCAAAGTACTTGGGGTACATGTCAGGAGACATGAATTCTCATCCTAGCCTTACTATCTGTGTTGTATTATGCTCCTCACTTTTCCTCTCTAAGATTCAATTTTTCATTTATAAAAAGGAGGAGTTGGTTTAGAGAGTCATTGAAGATCTTGTAACTCTTGAGAACTTTTTTCACCACTCTAAGTCTGAAGTTGGAGCTTGTATACTTATTAACAATAATAATAGTCAGTCACACACATGTGTGCATGTGCATGGACCTGAGATCATGATCTGTTGGGCACTTTCATATTGTTATGTTGAATTTTAGATTAGGAAGTGAATGTAAATGATCCTAAGAGCTATACATTATGTCTTGGTCAGTAATTATAGTGACTAAAGGTGAGCCCATCATCAAAGTAGGTGAACAAGAATAAAACGTGCTGAGGTTACAGAAGTACATGTGCAAATCTCAGAAAATGCAAAAAGTGAATATTTTCCCAGCAATGTGGAGTCTCTGCCTTTCCAAATCTATTACAGTTAGTTAAATATATGTAATTTGAACATAATGTAAAAGTACCATTTTCATATTCAGTCACTGAAAATGACAACTCTCATGCTTCTAGATTTTTATGAAGATATTTACCAGTAATTATAGCATATTTCACTCACTTACCATTTGCAACTTGTCTGAAATGAGCTGAAATTCTAGTTTCCAAGTAAAATTTATCTCAGTAGTTCCTAAATCAGCTTGCTGTTTTTATGTGCTATTCCAGGGCTGCATTTTGAGAACTTGGTGCCAGGAGATAATTTGATGCTTTAAATCCGTCAGTGTTATACTGAACCACATCCTGAGGTTAAGAATTTAACTGAACAGTTGAATAAAAGGGTAAATTGCTAATGGAATATCAAATAAACCATAACATCTTTTCCACTGATTTCCATTTGTTTGATTAGAATTTTACCCAAAGACATTGACATTCAGATGCTGTACTGAAAACTCAACAAATAGGATTTAAGTTTTCATAAGTTTAAAGTCACTGCAATATGGACCATGAGGCAATATAAAATATATGAGTTAGAGGCTACGTCTGTAAACTTAAAATTAAACAAGATATAAAGACAACTAACAATATGAGACTGTATGTGACAAGGGCATCATATCCCTTTAGAGATTTTCATTGACATGTTTGAACTACTTCAGTGCCTAAATACATTCGATCTCATCAGGAAGCTTGGTTTTTGCTCTGTATCTTCCCCTAAATAACTTATCTATGAGATATCACTGTGAGACTGTTTTCTCATCTTCAAAATGAAGAGATTGAACTAGATGGCTTATGAATATCTTTGTAGTGCTATTATACTATGATTCTTCACTATCTTAATATTACCTTCTGGATTTGTTCACTGACTTTTTCTTCAGTAATATCATACAGATAGCATTTGCTTGAAAGAATGCATAGATATTGGAACTTACCAGCTTTCCTATGAATTGAAAATATGACGGGACTCTTGCTCATCAATTCTTAGTGCCATTGTATGAGACATACATTTTAATTGGAATTTCTTGTCTATAAAATATTTTGTTGAATTTTATTTTTCACAGAGTAACAATCCATATATTTTTCACAAAATCCACTATTTATACTACCAATAATGAAACAACTAGTAATTCAATAATTATTATAGTCAGGATTCAGTTCTGAATTGCTAATCAGAGGAGCTGATATAAAGACTGGAAACTTTTCCTGAGATGTTTTTAATTTGAGGCACTCAGCCTAGCAATCCTAAGCAGTATCTCTTTGTTTAAATCTTTGCCATCATATTTTCTGCCCAGAGTTACCCTTTGATGCTGGACAGGCCAGTTTGGGGGACTGGAATTCAGTAATGTTAAATATGATGAGAAAGTCTCTAGATAGAAAATGCATACATGTATACCATTAATTCAGAGATTAAAACAATTTTCTTTCAGATCCTTTCTTTGCCATGATTCATGGACAAGCTAATATGGTGAAAAGTTTGCTTCATTTTGAGTTTTCTATGAATTGTAAAGAGTGTAGAGTGACAAAATAGAACCTCAGTGATTACACGAAACATAGAGTTAGACGTTTTAGGTTGTACTTTTTTCTCCTTACACTTTTAATAAGGATTCACCCTACCCCTTAAAATGAGATTCTTCTAATAATAGCAGTTATAGTTTCTTTTTGTGACAACCAATATATGCTTTCTTTTTTAAACATTTTTTTATTGATTTATAATCATTTTACAATGTTGTATCAAATTCCAGTGTAGAGCACAATTTTTCAGTTATACATGAATATATACTAATATGTGCTTCCTTTTCCTTGATTTGCATTTGCAGGGTAGAATGAGTTTCATTGAATTAAATGCAAATATTAGCTACTATATATAAAGTAGATAAAAATAGATTTCTTCTGTATAGCACAGGGAACTATATTCAATATCTTGTAGTAACATATGATGAAAAAGAATCTGAAAACGAATATATGTATCTACATGTATGATTGAAACATTATGCTGTACACCAGAAATTGACACATGGTAACAGACTAGAAATCAATAAAATAAAATAAAATAGTAAAATGCTGTTTTAAATGTGACAGACTTGTTTTTCTTTTGGCCCATGGCACCTGTGTACTAGTAGATGGTTAGGAATTTTGATACTATCTAAAAATAATTTAGTTGAATTCAGTAGACATTTGGATGGCATTGTTGGAGTCTGGATTGACATGCTTTTAGTACCTGTTTCTTGATATATTTCTATAGTACTATCTGATATAGACTTCCTAAGAGGGAGAGATTCAAACTGAAGCACTCACAGTTTATCTTTGGGTTTTTTATTCCTACCTCTTTGTACTGTTATATAGAGTTTAAAAATTATCTTATATTAATACAAAAGAATATAATTATACTACAGGGGCTGGCACATTTTCAGAAGTAGCCTTCCATGTTTTCATTTATTTGATCCCTCATTATATAAGGAGAAGATCAGTAAAAGGATATAAAGGCCACCTTAATTGTTCTCTCCTCCTTCCTCTTTCTTCTAAGACAACTCTCACAGACAAGATAGCCCATTCTTCAGCAGAAGTGCCAACAAGGATATTCACTAGAAAGTAGTTCCTCCTAGTGTTTCAGAGTGCTTCCTGTGACAATACTGTTTTAGATGGATTTTAGTGCATGGTGAATTCTGTCTAAAACAACTGTCTAGAGCTCTTAGCAGACATAAGAATCTATTAGCTAGAGTTTGGAATTTCTCAAACAATTTTCATATTACACTCTTTGTTTTCCCTGTGTTTTGAATTGGGAATCAGACCCATGTTGAATGCTTTTTCAAATCTTCAAGCCATCCATTGGAAGATGAAATAATTAGAGGAGTTGAAAATTACTTTGTTGAAGGATATTATTCACAAATTAGACTTGGGTTTACTTTTGGCTTGTGCTGTGTAGCATTGGCTTGTTAAAGAAATGTATCGAGTTTTCAATTACATTAAGAAATAGTCTCTATTTTTAAAGAGATGGTTCTGGTTTTAGGTATAACAGCTGCAGCAATGGCTGAGGCGATGAAGCTGCAGAAGATGAAGCTTATGGCTATGAACACTCTTCAGGGAAATGGCAGCCAAAATGGGACTGAATCAGAGCCCGATGATCTTAATTCTAATACAGGTGAGTAGTCTCCAGGAATCCAAGGCAGGTAACTCTGATTTATTCTGGGATGAGAAGGAAGAGAACTAAGGAGAGAATGATATGTATACTTTGAGTATAAGCAGTTACTACAAAAGGATGTTTAACTCTACCTCTAACCTGCACATTGAAATTAGAAAACTTTTACGGGTCAGAATCCCACTTTGGGAAACACTGAGTTATCTCCATTGTTTTCTTACAGTGGGATTAAATTCTGATTTTTATAGGACTATCTATTCTGCTTGCTAAAAGCTGTCCCCTTCAGTTTCACCTCAGGCTTCTTCATCTTTCTCTAAATAATTTACCACTGAAATGCAGTTCTGAGAATCCACCTTTGCTTCAGCTGGAGTACCACCTCAGATAAGTGAGGGCATTAGAAGACTTCAAACATTATAGGCAGGGGCTAAATTAAAAAGGTAGAACAATTTTAGTTGAGAATAATAAAGAGCAACCAAGGATAGTCTTAAGAGCTGTAGGCTTCCAATCTGCTTTTACAGTTTAATTCAATATAATGTGATAGGCAGATAGGTAGCCATCTTTTCTCTCTTCTTTTAGGCTCCTAGAATTTCAATCATGATTGGGCTTTGTTTTGGAGGGAAAATGAAAGGGGAATTAAACAAGGATATTTTTGAATAAAATCAGTATTAATAAACTTATCTAAAATGAAATGTTCTTGGTAAATTATAGAATGAGAATTGATCTTCAAGCAGTGTTCACAGTGGGGAGTCAATGGAAACATGCACTTTAATATTGTACAAGTTTGAGGTGTACAAAGTGTTGATTCGGTGCACTTATACATTACAATATGATTACCACCATAGTGTTAGCTAACACGTCTATCATGTCACATAGTTATCATTTACTTTTTTGTGTTGAGAACTTTTAGGATTGAGTCTCTTAGAAACTTTCAAGTATATAATACAGTGTTTTTGACTATAATCACAATGTTGTGCATTAGATCCCCAGAATTTATTCATCTTCTATCTCTCATATTAACCCACTTCATTCTTAACAAATTCCAGGAAAAAGGGGGAATTTAAAAAAATATTCTCATTTTTGCAGATTGAGAAACAGAGGCACAGTGCATTTCCATAGTCATAAAGATAGTAATTGGCAGAGCTAAGTTTCAGTCCCCTATGTGTTTAAGTCCAAAGTTTTAACCCTTTCCACATTCTCCCTCCACTTCAATATTGTGTTGTAACAAGAATTTTACTTTATTTAACCTCTGGAATGCAAGTTGTTTTTATGATGAAGACACAGTGGTAAACTTATGATAAGTTTTCTAGTCCTAACGCCTCTCTTAATTCATATGGCTTTCAAATTTTGTAGTGCCTTTGACCTGACCAACATTTGACAGGAAGCCTCTTGTAAATAAAAAGATTTTTGTGCCAGTAAAAATGAGTGGAATCTCAAGGAATAATTTCTGTCATGTTTTGCTCAGGTATACCCATTTCTGAAAAAGACATTCTATAAAACTTCTGTGTTGTTCCTTTATAACAAGATGACATAAATCATTTTGAGAGATATACTGGTGACTTAATTTCTAACTTAATAAATAGTTAACTTTCCTGGCTAGGTTTCCACCTATGTATGTTATACTTGATGTTATAGAAATGGAGTTAGAGTAGTTACTGTGCTTCACCATGCAGAGGTTGCAGTCTATCCTTATCTTGATGGAATGAAGGTAAGCAGATATGGAATAATAATGATGATAACAATAATACGTATTTAAATGAAGAGGTCCCTGAGGTTTTTCAAAGTCTATAAATTAGCACTGCACCTGCACACAAGATCCTGTTACCAAGAGAGATCCCCTCAGCCATATATTCCCCCTGTGGGAAGAGCAGGTGGACCTAGGGAGCCTTTGCCACCAAGAACACCCAGTCTTGCCTGCCAAAAACCCTCATGAGTGACATCAGCTGATGAAGCTGCATGAAGTCAACACTGCCACACTCTTTATGACCCAAGATGGGGAGGTACCATAGTATCCCCCTAGAGCCATAGCTGCCATACCACACCCAGCCAATGTTCTTGCACCCACTTGCAGGTGAAAGTCTTTCCCCACTGAAATAAGAGTCCATAAAGTCTGAAAGAAGTGTTTGCTGTCTCAAATGTGCAGACAGCAATGCAAGGCTATGTAGAACATGAAAAATAAACATAGCATCATCAAACAAACAGAATAATTTTCTGGTAACTGACCCTAGAGAAATGGAGATCCTTGAATTGCCTGACAAAGCATTCAAATAACTGTTTTAAGGAAGCTCAGTGAATTACAAGAGAAGACAATTAAAGAACTCATTGAACTCAAGAAACCAATACAGGAACAAAACAAGAAGTTCAATAAAGAAAAATCATTAGACAATGAACCAAGCAGAAATTCTTGAGCTGAGGAATACAATGAAAGAAGTGAAAGATACAGTAGAGGCTTCAGTAACAAACTCGTTAAGTCAGAAGGAAGACTTTCCAAACTTAAAGATAAGTCATTTGAACTATTCCAGTCAGAGGAGAAGCAGGAAAAAAGTGACAAAGGGTAAGAATACCTACAGAATTTATGTGATACCAGCAAAAGAACCAATATATGCATTATAGGAGTTGCAGAAGGTAAAAAGAGAAAGGGAATGAAAGCTTATTTAAAGAAATAATGGCTGAAAATTCCCCAAATCTAGGGAGGGAAATTGAAATTCAGATTAATGAAGCTCAAAAATTTCCAAATAGGATCAATCCAAAGAAAACTGCACTGGGCACATTTTTGTCAATTTACCAAAAGCCAAGTTTTGCGAGAGAATTAAAAAAGTAGCAAGAGACAGGTGATTTATTACATATGAAGAAAGCACCATGAGACGATAAGCAGATTTCTTAGCAGAAGCTCTGTAGGCCAGGAGAGAATTGGATGATACATTCAAAGAACTAAAAGAAACAAACTACCAACTATTTCCTAGACAAACAAAAACTGAGGTAGTTCACTATTGGAACTATCTTAACAAGAAATGTTTAATAAAGGAGTTCTTAAAGTTGGAATGAAAACATGTCAAATAACAATGTAAAATCATATGAATGTATAAATCTCAATGGTAAATGTAAATACATGGATAAATACAGATTAATGTAACACTATAATGGTTCATAAATTAGTTTTAACCCTCATATAAAGTTAAAAGATAAAAGTTTGTTAATTAACATAGAATATAAAAAAGAAATGAACTCTGACTACAAGAAGACAAACTGTGTGGGAAGAGTAAAAGTGCAGAGTTTTTGTATGCGATAGAAGTTGAGTTGTTAATAATTTAAAATAAAGGTTCTAAGTACATATTTTAGATAAGCCTTGAGTTAAATACAAAATAAAAACCTATAATACATATACAGATAATAAGGAGAAAAGGATCAAAGCAAATTACCACCTAAGTAAATTAACAAATAACAAACAACAAAGCAAGAAAAGAAAGGCAAAACAATTTTAAAACAGAAAACAAATAACAAAATAGGACAATAGTAAATGCTTACCTATCAATAATAGCTTTAAATGTAAATAGATGAACTCACCAATATAAAGGCATTGAATGGCTGAATGGATGAATAAACAAGATCCAGCAACATTATTAGGTTGAAAATGTGAGGATGGAAAAAGATATACCATGCAAATTATAACCAAAAGAAAGTAAGAGTGGCTATAATTTTATCATTAAAAATATACTTTAAATCTTAAACCATTTTGGAAACAAAGAAGTGCATTTTCCTTGATAAAAGGGTAAATTTGACAGGAAGATATAACATTTATAAATATATTTATACTCAGTATCAGAGCACCTAAATGTATAAAGCAAATATTGACAGATCTGAAAGCAGAAATTAACAGCAATACAATAATAGTAGGGGAATTGAATACCCCACTTATAGTAATGGAGAGAACATCCAGACAGGAAAACAATAAGGAAAAAGCTTACTTGAAAAACACTATAGACCAAATAGACATAACAGACACATACAGAACTTTATACCTAATAACAGAAGAACACACAGTCTTTGCAAGCACATACAGAACATCCTCCTGGATATATCCTATGTTAGGTCACAAACCTAGTCAACAGATTTACAAAGATTAAAATTATACCAAGTATTTTTTATGACCACAAAAGAATGAAACTAGAAATCAGTAATAGCAAAAGAATCAGAAAATGTATAAATATGTGGAAAATAAATAATACTTTCTTAAACATCCATTCAGTCATAGAGGAAACCAAAAGAAAGTTTAAAAAGCATCTAGAGACAAATGAAACTGAAAATAACACATACCAGAACTATGGGATGTAGCAAATATAGTACTAAGAAAGAAGTTTATATTTAAAAACATATGTTAAAAATAAGGAAAATTTCAATTTAATTTCACACCTCAGGGAGCTAAAGGAGGACAAACTAAGATAAAAGTTAGCAGAAGGAAGGAAATATAAATAAATAAATAAATAATAAGTAATCAAGTGGAGACATAAAAAGCAATAGAAAAAGTCAACAAAACCAAAGATTTGTTTTATGAAAGATGTAATCAACAAAACCTTAGTAGACAAGAGGCAAAAGAGAAGACTTCAATAAATAAAATCACGAATAAAAGAGAAAGCATTACAATGATACCTCAGGAATATAAGGAATCACACAGGACTACTATGCAAAATTATACACCAATAAACTGGATAACCTAAAGGAAATGGATAAATTCCTACAAATATACAACCTACCAAAACTGAATCGAGAGGAAATAGTATGAATAGATCAAATACTAGTAAGAAAATTGAGTCAGTAATCAAAGGATCACAACAACAACAACCTGCCACAGATGGTTTCTCTGGTGAATTTTACCAACGTTTAAAGAAGAATTAACAGCAATCATTTTCAAAATTTTCAAGATATTGAAGAGACACTCCCAAACTCATTTTAAAAGCCCAGCATTACACTGATAAAAATGCCAGATAAAGATTCTACAAGAAAAAATA